TTTTTTTTTTGTAAATGATAGAGACTACAAAAATGGTTACATTAGTCTGTTTATAACCTTTAGTCCACTAAAAACGTAATGTCAGGACAAACTCAAATTAGAGATTTGTGAGTTCACCATTGGTCCACTGAATTTAATTATAATAATAATAATGATAATAACTATATATACTAAAAATATATTTAATTATATAAATATTTTTTATCTCTTAAAGAGTACCTCTAGTTTGTATACACATTAAAAACATGTTTAATCAGGTGAATACTTTTTATCTCTTAATTAATACTTCTAGAATTATGATTTGAGAGAATTTTTATTTTTACTTATGTTAAACTATTCAATTATTATTATAACTTGTAAATGTTCAAAACTTAAATTGCAATTTGTTAAATATTTAGTTCCTTCAAACAACACAATACAGAATTTATAATTATTTTTTTAAATTATAGTTTTTTATGTTAATTATAATAAATTAATTTTAAAACTATACATATTAATATAAACGTATATGCAATAGGATTTGGGAGTCAACCAACCTGTTAATGGTACGAGCCTTCATGATATGGCGAAAAGAACAACAATCTTTTTCATCCAAAAACAAAACTCTATTCTCAAAAATATTACTTATATTTATCAAAAACATTATTATTTAGAAACTTAACTTAAATATATCTTTTTTTTAATATTTTGAGATGTTTTTAAAAAAGTAAAATCATAATTGAAGTGTGAGTTTTAAAACATACACTTTAATAATATTATCTAAATTGACACGGTTTTTTTCTTAAAATAGATAAGCATGGTAATTACAAAAATAACTTTAATAATATCATCTAAATTGATATGTTTTTTTATTAAAATAGATAAATATGTGCCAAAATTACAATAATAAGTAAATTTTAAAATAATTATTGAAAAACAAGTTATATGAGATAGAATAACTTGAAATGAAGAAGTTGTATATTGTGTATCATTCAACATGCTCGATAGACAAGTGAAGAGCTTAGTAAACATATGTGAATAGTTTAGTTAAACATATGAAAAGCTCGATGAAAGTTATTAGAGGACTTACAATTTTAATTTCAATAAAAAATTGTTTAAGAATAAAATATTTTTCAATTTTTATAAAACAATTCTATTAAGTTCATTACATGTTCCATCGAGCTCTTCACATACTTCACTAAAATTTTCATATTTCTTTTTTAAGTTTCATGAGATCATTTCAATTACAAAATGTGTTTCAATTAAACTTATGATAATTCGGTTATATATATTGTACTTAGACAACTTTTTATTAAAATTAGAAGTTATCAGTTCTTCAACGACTTCTGAGTTGAGAATGTATTGATTGAAAAAAAAATCATATAAATGTAATACTCCATCAATTGAAATCGTGTGAAGACATCATAGCTGGTATTTTCATAATTTTTATAAAATTTAAATAGTCCGTAATTTTATATATTAAAAAAAAAACTAAACCAACACTAACGCTGGCTTTAAAGATGAAAAATATGTTTTATTAATGTATTCATAGAAAAATTGACATATATTATAATAGTAATTTTACTAATGAGTTAAATATTTTCATACAGTCTATTATTTCTTTAATTTAAGTAAAATCTTTAGCAACAAAATTAATATTTGTGTAAACTTTTAGAAATTTACAAGTCTCTCTTCCTTATATTTTACTTAAAAAAAAAAGTGATTTGCAACTAATGACTTTCTTTCCTCGAGATAAAGAAGTAAGAATCCAGGTCTTGTTTTCCTCCAAAGCCTACACTTCAACCACAATGCTCTTTTTTCCAACAAGATGGAGTTATGCCATCCTCATAATATCAGTGTGAACGAAGGTCATAAAACTATTTTATATCAAAAAATATGGTAATTTTAAATTGAAAGGTGATTTTATTATTATTATTATTATATTACTATTATTATAATATTGAAGAAAAACGTAGGAAAGTAGGAGAAGAGTCATTTTGAATACTTCTCCCTCCAACAGCCAAAGCCTACCTTCCTCGTACACGCTACACATACACCTCTCTCTCTCTCTCTCTCTCTCTCCATCCGTGTCTGCTATAACCACAATGCTCAGCAATTTACAACATATAATAAACTCACCCGTTTACTCCCTGAAATCAATTTCCTTTCTTTCACCCTCCATTGCTTTTCCTTCACCCAAACTCAATGGGTGCCGACGAAGACTATGACTACTTGTTCAAGCTCGTCCTCATCGGTGATTCTGCCGTTGGAAAGTCCAACCTCTTATCTCGATTCACGCGAAACGAGTTCAGCTTGGAGACCAAATCCACCATCGGCGTCGAATTCGCCACCCGCAGTGTCCCCGTCGATAGCAAACTCGTCAAGGCTCAAATCTGGGACACCGCCNAAATATTAATATTAACATTTCATAATAACATATATTTATTATATTAATAAAGATTTTAAACTTTATTACTGAACAACAAAAAATATCAACAAAATCTCTTAAAACTATCACTAAAAATTTGTCATCTGTTTGTTATTTTTCATTTGTTTTGGTAATAGTTAAATTTGTGTTAATAAACGGAATAACAAAAATTTATAAATCATCGAATCTATTATCATTAAAGCAGATTTTTTTTTTTTCAGTTTTAACCTGTAGTGAAAATATTGACTTTAATGAATGGGATATTTTTTGAACTAGTGAAATTCATGAAACTGATCTAAAAGAAGTAAAAGTCGATATACATATAAGTTTCAATCATTATATTTTAAAAAAATAAACAGTATTTTAAAACTCGGACTAGTTATTGACTAAATCAAAAGTTTGAGATAGTAAATTAATAATTATCTTAGTATTTTAGAAAAAATCAAAATATTAGCAATTGCCAAAGTGATCAATAACTAATATACATTATTTTTAACTTATTAACTAATCTAAATATGTAAACTAATTTTAGTTTAAGAAAAAACTTATTTTATTCTTCTCTCTTAAAACTATTTATGAAATAGTTTAATTAAACCTACCTTGGAGATGAAAAATTCAGAGACATATCCTTATTCCATACATATTTATCAATTTGTATATACTATATTAATATATTAATTAATAAAAAGTTATTATTTATGTGCCTTGAACTTTCGATAACTTTTCAATGGTCTTTTCAATCAATATAATTAATTAATTAATGATATTCTCGGACTTAATAATTTAATGCATTCTAATTTCTAAACTTTGTTATTTATTACCATTTTAGTGAGACTGAATTAAAATAAAATAAAAATAAAAATAAATGACAGATGAATAATTAATTGAACTGATGAACAGGAAAGGGTAATATATTTATTTTTATTTTGAACATTAACTTTAACTCATGTATTTTAACCTTAGAATTAGAGTCAAAGATTAATTATACTTTCAAATAATTTAATATTTATAAAAAAAGGTAAGTGAAATAATGATATATAATTTTTTAATTTTTTTTTTTTGTAAATGATAGAGACTACAAAAATGGTTACATTAGTCTGTTTATAACCTTTAGTCCACTAAAAACGTAATGTCAGGACAAACTCAAATTAGAGATTTGTGAGTTCACCATTGGTCCACTGAATTTAATTATAATAATAATAATGATAATAACTATATATACTAAAAATATATTTAATTATATAAATATTTTTTATCTCTTAAAGAGTACCTCTAGTTTGTATACACATTAAAAACATGTTTAATCAAGTGAATACTTTTTATCTCTTAATTAATACTTCTAGAATTATGATTTGAGAGAATTTTTATTTTTACTTATGTTAAACTATTCAATTATTATTATAACTTGTAAATGTTCAAAACTTAAATTGCAATTTGTTAAATATTTAGTTCCTTCAAACAACACAATACAGAATTTATAATTATTTTTTTAAATTATAGTTTTTTATGTTAATTATAATAAATTAATTTTAAAACTATACATATTAATATAAACGTATATGCAATAGGATTTGGGAGTCAACCAACCTGTTAATGGTACGAGCCTTCATGATATGGCGAAAAGAACAACAATCTTTTTCATCCAAAAACAAAACTCTATTCTCAAAAATATTACTTATATTTATCAAAAACATTATTATTTAGAAACTTAACTTAAATATATCTTTTTTTTAATATTTTGAGATGTTTTTAAAAAAGTAAAATCATAATTGAAGTGTGAGTTTTAAAACATACACTTTAATAATATTATCTAAACTGACACGGTTTTTTTATTAAAATAGATAAGTATGGTAATTACAAAAATAACTTTAATAATATTATCTAAATTGATATGTTTTTTTATTAAAATAGATAAATATGTTCCAAAATTACAATAATAGGTAAATTTTAAAATAATTATTGAAAAACAAGTTATATGAGATAGAATAACTTGAAATGAAGAAGTTGTATATTTTTAGATGATTTTTTCTGTGTGTATCATTCAACATGCGGTCAACTTGGAACTCGATAGACAAGTGAAGAGCTCGGTAAACATATGTGAAGAGTTTAGTTAAGCATATGAAAAGCTCGGTGAAAATAATTAGAGGACTTACAATTTTAATTTCAATAAAAAGTTGTTTAAGAATAAAATATTTTTTTAATTTTTATAAAACAATTCTATTAAGTTCATTACATGTTCCATCGAGCTCTTCACATACTTCACTAAAATTTTCATATTTCTTTTTTAAGTTTCATGAGATCATTTCAATTACAAAATGTGTTTCAATTAAACTTATGATAATTCGGTTATATATATTGTACTTAGACAACTTTTTATTAAAATTAGAAGTTATCAGTTCTTCAACGACTTCTGAGTTGAGAATGTATTGATTGAAACAAAAATCATATAAATGTAATACTCCATCAATTGAAATCGTGTGAAGACATCATAGCTGGTATTTTCATAATTTTTATAAAATTTAAATAGTCCGTAATTTTATATATTAAAAAAAAAACTAAACCAACACTAACGCTGGCTTTAAAGATGAAAAATATGTTTTATTAATGTATTCATAGAAAAATTGACATATATTATAATAGTAATTTTACTAATGAGTTAAATATTTTCATACAGTCTATTATTTCTTTAATTTAAGTAAAATCTTTAGCAACAAAATTAATATTTGTGTAAACTTTTAGAAATTTACAAGTCTCTCTTCCTTATATTTTACTTAAAAAAAAAAGTGATTTGCAACTAATGACTTTCTTTCCTCGAGATAAAGAAGTAAGAATCCAGGTCTTGTTTTCCTCCAAAGCCTACACTTCAACCACAATGCTCTTTTTTCCAACAAGATGGAGTTATGCCATCCTCATAATATCAGTGTGAACGAAGGTCATAAAACTATTTTATATCAAAAAATATGGTAATTTTAAATTGAAAGGTGATTTTATTATTATTATTATATTACTATTATTATAATATTGAAGAAAAACGTAGGAAAGTAGGAGAAGAGTCATTTTGAATACTTCTCCCTCCAACAGCCAAAGCCTACCTTCCTCGTACACGCTACACATACACCTCTCTCTCTCTCTC